GGCGGGGGGACGGCAGGGGAGCTCTGCGAAGAACCAGGCGAGGGCGTCTTGGCCAGGCGCGCGGGCGGCGTGGCGCTCCTCTGCGGGGGACTGCGCAGCGCCAGCTCTGAGATCTTGCCTGGCCGATGCAGGCTGCGGGAGCGCTGTTGTGAGCCGGGGTTCGGGGCCGGGGCGGCTGGCTGCACGGGGCTCGGCGGCCCCGTCTTCCGCGGGGCGGCGCGGGGTCCGGGAGCGCCTCTGAACTGTCCCCGGGGTGCCGGGCTGGGCATGTAAATGACTGTCCTTCCCCGCAGCACGGCTGGGACGCCGGACGCCGCCTTCTGAGCGCCGCGCGGCTGCTCGGCGCCACCGCGATCAGCCACGGCTCGTCTCTCCGGCCGCCTCGCGCTGCCCACCAGGCCCTCCGCCCCTGGCCGCCGCCGCTTCCTCTCTGCGTTGGGCGTTGATGTGTAGGACGGAACCGAGTCGGACTCGGCCTCGCGGGTGGCCGCGGCGGCTGCCGCCTGATGCAGCCAGGTGACGATGGAGTTGGCGCCCTCCTGGATGGCCCGCCATTCGACGCTGTCCAGGTCCGAGGCACCGCGGTCCGAGCCGGCTGCCTCCTCTCCACGCTCCCGGGCCACCTCGGCTGTTGGCTGGGCTGCTCGGGGCTTCTGCTGCCGGGATCCAGACGCTGGTGTCCGGCGCCTGGGCATGGCTGAGCTGACGCAGCTTCGCAGCAGCTCCTCCTCAGCCCGTGGGCCGGGTGACGCGCCACCATGCCCACTGGCCACCTCTGAGTTCTTGCAGACTGCTGAACCCCGGCCGCAGGGCTGGCTGGCTGGCTGCTCCGGGTCCGGCTCGCTCAGGGAGCTCACGGAAGAGCTCAGCGAGTAGCAGGGCGGTGTCTCGTCGGCAATGAGGCTGGGGTGTGCCCGGGGGGGTGGCAGGGCAGGTGGTGCAGCCTTGGGCACAGCCTTGGGTGCAGCCTTGGGCGCAGTCTTGGGTGCAGCCTTGGGCGCAGCCTTGGGTGCGACCTTCGTGCCCACCTGACGCTCTCTCTTCAGGGCCCGGGGGATCGCCGCCGCCCGCCGGGGGGGTTTGGCCGCTGTGGCCGGCCCCTCGTCGTCAGAGTCATTGTAGAAGCAGTACACGGCCTCCTCGGTGGGTGTGGTGAGGCATAGCGACTGCAGGCCACCGTCCCCACGTGCCCGGCCCAGGCAAGGCCCATCTTGGTCTGAGCGGGCACTGGGCAGGCGGCCAAGGGGCAGCTCCAGGCCTGCATGGATCCGGCCCTTTCCACGGGCTTCCTCTGCATTCTGGCTGATGCCCCCCGCCCTAGGCCGCTGCCCAGAGGCCTGCCTGGAGGAGGTGGAGCGGCCGGCC